GTTGTGGGGGGATCACGGATTGTTTGGAGAGGGGGTGGCGGGCGGCGGGCTGTGTCGGGAGGACCGCAGATGGGGGGCCAGGGGGGGTTGTTTTGAGGGGAGCGTGGTTTTGTGGGGCCGGGGAGGCGGTTGGGGGGGGCACGTAGTGCTGGGACGGGCGATTTTGAGAGCGGGTCGTTTTGTGAGACGAGCAATTTCAGGGGAAAGCGGTTTTGGGGGCACGCGGTCTCAGTGAGACGCGCACAGGCCTGTTGCGGTGGCGGCGTGGAGCTGCCAGGCCCCCCGGCCGACACATCGTGACTGTGAGTCTGTTGATTGTAATCGGTAGACGAGCCGGTTCCCTGCTACCACGGCCGTTGGCCGCGCCCAACGCCAAAACCTGCGTGCGTGCGGCCGATCGGCCCACGCGGGCGTGCCCGCGGCCGCGCTGCGGGGGCCTTCGCGTGCGGCGCACGCGCGCGGTGTCGCACGCACCCTCAGCGTCGTCAGCAGCAGGCCCCTCAGGCTCTTGTCCGGGTCCTGCAGCATCTCAACCTTCGTGACCACCCACACGCCGTCCGCCGCGGCCTGCACTGCCAGCACCGACGCCGCGGCCACGGGGCCGCCCAAGGGGGAGGCCCCCAGGAATGCGGACACCGCCTGAATGTACGCAGCCTGCATGGCGGCCGTGAACTCGTCCGGGGAGTCGAGGTCCTTCATGCTGGCCGTGAAGTAGACCGTGGGCAGGTCGCCGACGGGCGGGTACGCAAAGAGGGGCGGGTCGACGCGCGGCGGCGGCGGCGGCGCGCCCGCGGGCGGCGCGTCGCCGGTCGCGTTGGCGGCGGCGGCGGCGATGGAGGAGGAGTAGACGAGGGTGGAGTTGCGGCCGGAGAGCTGGGTCACGGATGAGTCGAGGAGCGATCCGGGGGTGACGGGCGCCCCACCGGAACCACCGGCGCCGGCGCTGCCGCCGCCGCCGCCGATGCCGGCGCCGCCGCCGCTCATGAGCGCTGCAAAGGCTGCCTCCGCCGCGGCAGCCGCGGCAGCGGACGCGGGCGCTGGCAATGATGCCGGCTCGCTGGTGTTTCCAGCCGGCGGGTCGGTTAGCAACCGTCGCGCCGGTTGCTGGGGCCGGCGGTGCGCCTGTGTGCATGCGTAAGAGCGTGGGTGTGCCGTTTGGGGGCGGGACAGCACAAGCTAGCATGAATCGTACAAGGTCGCACACGTGCCTGCGATCATGCGCTGGATCAGTTGGAGCTGGCAAGTGCAGTTGCTGCATCCAATTGCGACAGCGCGGTGCTCACCAGAGGCGGGGCGCGTGCCGCGTCTGCCGCCCAACACATGGACGAAGCCAGCAGCAACAAAGGCAGCGCGATCGCCGCCGCCATGCTCGCCACTCTGAGGCGCCCTGTGTGACCAGGGGCCCGTGTGACGTGACCGCCCCGCCGCCGCTGCTGTGCCTCTGAAAACGGCTGTGCAGCAGTGCAGCGAGCCCGTCTGCGCTGACCGCCGTGTGGTCCGGGAGCCACGTGGGCCTGAGGCACCATAACAATCATAACTCGTCCATAACTGGTCGTATACTTTGGCGCTACAGCAAAGCGCGTAGCTCAGGTGTGTGTGAACATAGAACCCGTCCCCACCAGCAGCTACAAGCCTTAGATGGCGACATATAGAGTCTAAGCTAGAACAGCATCCTGGACTGTCACTCGTGTTGGCCGGACACCCTCAGCTGTGCGCTCAAACCGCGACCAGCTGCTGGTTGTGCGTGTGAACAGTCTGTCCAGCTCACAACGTGCATGTCACGTCATAGGCGAGAACTCATTTTGCGCCATGTGGGACTGTCCAGCACATGGATCCCTTCCACTTCTGCCAAGTGCCCTGGTGCCGGTATGCGTGCTTTGCTGTTGCTGCACTCTGTGTGCGACTGCAACCACAAGTGCCATCGACTTTGCTTGCAAGCCTACCAGAAATTTTTTGCTGAGGAATCAAAATTGGAGTACAAGAGGCCGGGACTGGGGCAGTGTCTCCCAGCGTATTGCATTATGACTGTACTTTTGTCAGATGGGCTGAAGGACAAGAGGAGGCGAAAGGGCTACATCAGAGTCGCTGTGGCCGCTCATTTACCAAACGCAGCAGAGGGCAAGGGGTATATAGTGGTGCGTTGAACTGGCATGCACTTGAGGCGGGCGGCAAGCTCGCGCGGCGCTGCTACCAGCCCGTTCGTCTGTCCCGCCATTCACAGCAGGTGTGCAGGGACTGGCTGCGACAACGAATTACTCATGATATGGAATATCTGTTTCTGGGGGCGTCGGAGCATCCTTCGGGCATGGCGGCACACGCAGCAATCCTAAAACCCACCATCATCACCATTAGTCACGCGTAGTGTCGTAAATGCCGCGCACGTGCAACACATGCTCAAGACATCACCACATAGCCGGCCTGATGACTTAGCGGCCGAGGAAGGAAGCAGGCATGACGCACCCCCTTGCACATGAGCAGCCACAACCAGCGCAAGCACCACGCCTGTCTGCTGCCCGAGTGAGAGTCGACGTCCCGTGCAGAAGCGTGCCACGCGCGCATGAGGACCTGTCCGGCCACCCGCATTGCACAATCTTTTGATGTTGCCACACAACAAGCGCAGCGGTGCTGCAGGGTGGCCCGCTCAAAGGCCGCAAAGATGCCAGCAGCTGTGCAACCACTTGAGAGGGCGGGGCTTCAGGTGCGGCGGCCAAACCAGCGGCACACCCCGCCCCCGTGTGCCGCCAAGGGTGTGGCCCGGCCGGAAGACAGAGCTGGTTTACTTTGGTGGGTGCCGGTGGTGGCTGCTAGCCTGCTGGAGCGAGCAACACGGCAGTGGGGGGGGATGCGAGGCACAGGTGTCACGTCTTGTGTAAGGACATGCCAAGCAGCAGAGCTGGCGAGGGCGCACACTATGTTTGGCGTTTGGAGGGGCTGCGTCTTGGGCCCCAGTGCCACAGGGCGGCCTATGACCTGGCAGACTGGGCGCTCTATCGATGTTGCACATCCCACCACCCAAAGATGCGCCGGCAGCCCACCAACTCGATCGGCGGGTCGACTTCAGACGTGGTTGCATACGCGTGAGCGTCCTTGGCAGCCTGGGCAGGTATTTGCCACCGGAGGAAGCGAGCACGGTGGGTTGCTGACGTGACGTAGCAAACCCGACACGGCTTACGGGCCGGAAACGGCATGCACCGTCCCGCAGGCGCCCAAAACCAGTATAATACTGTACATACAAGCCCGCACGTGGCGCCAAACCGCTGCAAAGGTCACCCAACGCCCCGAGCTTGCCTCCTGTGCTTTGTGAGCCTCCTCCATGTTCACTTTTGGATCATGTGGCGACTCCTCGCCTGCAGTCGCCTTTTCCATTCCAAACGGCACGCCCATATCACTCATGATCTCCGCTTGAGTTCTCCGGGTTATCAATCGGGATGTGACGCTGGTAAGTTGTCCAAAGGCTTCTTGTATGTGTTTTGCACATTATGCTGCCCAACACGCGCCCCGTCATGGCAAGAAACCTTCTGCACGGAGGAGGGAGGTGGGCAGGCACATCTGACATCAGCACCGCAAGCAACGGCACAGTCAACCCCTGAAGCAGTCATCAAGTTAAAAGTGAAGCTGAGGGTCATGCACAGGCGCTCATGCGCCAGATCGTGTCATAACACCCCTGCACGAAACGAATGACAGGCTTTCAAAGCGCTGGACGAGGAACTCCTCCTGGAATGCCAGTGCACGCGTTCCCCTTCACAGGCGTGCTGTGCTGGCTGCCGCCCTTCGTTGTTGCACGGCCATTGCCCTCCGCAATGCGCGGGGCCGCCGTCCCCGCCGTCACTGCGACTTGGGGCCGCAGGACGCGCCGCAGAATAAGCTCTTAGGGACTGGGACCAGCAGGTTGGTGCGCTTTCGGTACTCCTGGTACTCGGGGATGTCCCCCCAGCGCCGCTTGGCCTGGGCGTCCTGCGGGGACGCACCAAGGAGCGCCGGTTGGGGGGGGGAGAGGTTGGCTGGAGCGGGAGGGGGGCGGAGGGGTGTGAGGTGTGTGTGCCGGCAACATTGGGGCCCTTTTGGTGCGTCGGGGGCCAGCGGCCTCGAAAGGGAGGGGCATCAGGGAGCGGGCCCAGCAACAGGGCATCAAGCCCGGCAGGAGGCTGCATCCCTGCCCCCCTGAACCTAGCCGAGGACATCCACTCCTCTGCACACAGGTCGCAGGTCTCTGACGCACGCCCTGCCCCATGCATCCGGCCTCCGTCGTAAGCTGTACAAAAGGGTGGCGCCCGCGCACCTGCAGGGGAATGCCGCTGACAAAGAAGAGCAGCGCCATGACAAAGAGGGGGCTGGCCACGCTGACAAACTGGGCGCCGCTCAGGCCCGATGTGCATGTGATGAAGATGCCCCACCAGAGCGTCATCTCCCCAAAGTAGTTGGGGAATCTGGGCGGCAGCGGCAGGAGGGGACGTGAATTGAGGGCAAAGTGACAGGCATTTCGGGAGGGGAGCATCGCAGGTTGAGGAGCAGCGGTAAAGCGCCATGGGCGAAGGGGCGGGGCCTGTGATGCTGCACCCCGTAAAAGGTGTGGTGTGGCGGTCATGCGCGCACCACCACGCGCAGGAAGCGTCACATGAGCCGGCACAACCAAGCGGCGCGCTGCAGGCCGGCGCGAGCGCCAGCGTTCGCCGGTTGAGGCAAGACGCGATGCGTGCGGCCGCGGTCTGTGCGCAACCCTGTGCGCCCGCTGTCCCGCTGTTCCCGCCGTAATTCGAATTCGAGCCCCGACAGACCTGGAGTAGCTCCAGAGGCCGGTGTCGATAAAGCGCCCCTTGTTGGCGGGGTCCATCTTGAAGGCAAACTTCTGGGCGTCTGCTGTGGCCTCGATGATGAGGCCTATCGCGTAGAGGGCCACCCCCACGCCGTCGCTCCAGACGATGCGCGCGGGGCCCCCGGCGCTGGCGGTGTTGAGCAGCAGCAGGGGGCTGAGCGTGATGAAGACCCACGCGGCCTGGGAGGCAGGGGTTGGGGGGTTATCGACGCACACAAATGTGGGCAAGTGGGTGTTGGGTCGTGGACGCCCGCCCGCGCACTCATCCAGGGGGGGGACTTGTGTGTGCATACAGGGTTGGTAAGAGTCAGGCTGGACAAGGAAGTTGGCGGCTGTGGGGCTGTATAAACAACCCTCTTGCAGCCGAAGTTCCAATGGACGTACCCCGCCCGCCCACCACAGAACTTCGCCCCCACCCCCTTTGACCCAGCCCGTAGGCTCCCTCCAAAATCCAACCTGAATTCTGACCCCCCGAGCCCGCCGACAACCCCACACAGTGACGGGCAGCGGCCGAGGCCCGGCCCTTGCCAAGTGAGTTATTTCAACCCCTACACTGAACCCCGTGGTGGCCGGCCGCACCTGCATGGTCCAGAAGATCCAGAATTTGAAGGGCTGCTTCTTGGCCTCATCGAAGCGGCTGTCGTGGCCCACCTTCCACACGCGCGCCACCAGGAACGCGCCCAGTCGCACCGCCCAGAGTGCCACCATGGCAGACACCAGGTACTGCGGAGGGGTGGGGGCCACAGGGGTCAGCGGCTGCAGCAAAAATTCCGGGCAGGCTGAACAAATATCCATCGGGGCCTCCCGACCTGAAGCACGCATCATCAGGATGCATATGCCACGTGCTGCATGTGGCGGCACGAGGGTGCGCGCTCTGCATTCAATCCCAGATTTGCTGCATGGGAGTGCCGTGAGAAGCTCTAGCTGCAGGGCGGCCGCCCAAGCGCCCACCTTGCGAGCGTGAGAGACCTTGGCTGCCGCCATCGACCCCAACGCCAGCGTGAGGAAGCTGCCAGTCCCAAGCATGTCGTAGAACTTGTCGGTCTGCGACCGAGGGGGTGAATCACAAAGTGGGGATGTGGCGAATCGTTATCCATGGCTGGGTTTGTATCATTCGGCCCCTCAGCGGTGCACAACCACAGGGCATGTTTGATGCCAGATCTGCTCCTGGTTGTGCCGGCTTCTTGACCGCTGAATGTGCTGGCCCCAAGAATCACCGCCGCTAGACGTTGTACACGACGAGGCGTGCGTGCGCGGCCGCCCGGCCGCCCGGCGGCCACAGCTCCGGCCCCGTCGCCGCGTGCTGCCCTCCTCCCCGCCCACCTGCAGTGCGGCTGAGACGGCCCAGCCGCCCCAGTTTATGGCCAGGTCGATGATGGCCCATGACAGCAGCCCCATCTCCTTGAACGTGGCCTGGCAGCATGATTTTTGTGTGGTTTAAGAAGAATTAGAGGATGTCTCGCAGCAAGTGCTGTCCATACATCCACGCGCCAGCACAGTGCCTGCCCCCTGGAACCCTCCAGGGTGGGAGAGTTGGGAAAGGAATTTTTACTAAACGAGGCAGCTTTGTGTTTCCAGCCCGTGGCACGGCGGGGCAGCCGCACCTGGTCAATGACGCTAGGCCCCTGCCCCATGGCCGCGAAAGGCCTTAGGGCACCCTGGCTGGCCGCGCCGCCGAGGAGCGATGCGCCCAGCACCGGCCTTCACAGGTGGGAAATGCGCGGGCGCGGGCGCGCGTGGCAGCGGCGTGCGCGGGTTTGCTGACGTGTAAAAGGATTGGCACACACACTGCAGCTGCATTGCATGCTGAATGGGGCGTCGTGCGGCCGCATGCGCATCCCTATTCGAGGCGCGGCGTGTGGCACGCACAGAGGCGGCATGCAGGCTGCTATACGCACCGGTTAGGCTGCCAAGCGCGCAGAGAGCGACCAACCCCCGAGGTTGCCGCGCGGTTGAGCCTGATTGCGGTCGTGCACTGTGCTGCCAACTGCGCGAGCAGTGGTCGGAGCATCAAGTGAGAACGAAGTCACCCCCAGAACAGCGAGGCAGGGAAGACTGTTATGCACGTGCGCAATGCAGTATGGTTGATCAAGAACACAATTGCAGAGATTTCAGAGCCGGTCAATCATAACCCGCGTCGTAATCGATCTATCGCCGCGGGGGACAGGTTGACCATCATATGTAGCTTTTGAGTCATTCAGGATATCTCTCACGCCTCATCTTGACCTCATAGCTCCCCAATCAGTGATCTCGTAGGGCTGACCCGGCTCCGCTCAGCGACTGGTAGGGCTCCAGGGTTTACCAAAACGGTAAAATAACCCTAAGGGACGATCCGGACCTCATGGAATTTGACTACAGCGAGGAGCTGGTGCGTAGCAGAAGCGCGCGCTGCTTCGGTCTTGGGCACCATGGCTGCCACCGCCGCCCACCGCAGATGCAGCCAGCCATGGCATTCCAGAGCGTGATCGCCCTTCATGTTTACATCTGGCAAAGCGCCACCCCCACCCGCCCTATATACAGCTGGAGGGGCCGCTGATCCGCCAGGGCGGCCCCCGGCCCGCCGGCGGCGGCCGCAGGATGCCAGGCGACGAGGACGACGAGGTGCGCCCCGCCTGGCCACTCACGTTCGGGTCGAACACAGGCGCCGGGTCAAACACAGGCGTTGCTTCTCACCGCCCTGGCGCTCTGCTCCCTTGACTGCTTTCAAATCAATAAGCAGCGCGGGCCTCCCGCCCCCTCAGGATGCCCATGCCGGCCCCAGCGGCTCTGCCAGCCCTGGAGACCCGCCCGAAGACCGGGACGCGTTCGAGCAGTCTGCAGCTTCCCAGCTGGAAGCTGACTCCCCAGATCATGAGGAGCACGACGCGGGGCCCTACGGCAGGGGCGGCAGCGGCGGCGGCGGCGGCGGCTATGACGGGGGCAGAGCAGCGGCGCGGCAAGGCCGTGCTTCGGGCGAGGGCGGCGGCGGCGGCGACGGGGGCGGGGGCGGTGCCTTGGGGCAGCAGCAGCAGCAGCAGCAGCAGCAGCAGCAGCAGCAGCAGCAGCTGCCCGGGGAGTACAATGCCGCCGAGTTCAAGCACCTCAACGTGACTGACGACGTGCGGGTGCGTGCCAAGAACCCGGCGAGCAAACCTTTGCTGTCCGGCACGTGAGGGCCTGCTTGGGAGTGCAGAGCGCTGCAAGCTTCGAACTTTCGCTCCCCAGGCAGTGGTTCTTTGGCGGCCTGCCGCGGGGTGCCGCCCGCTCAAGCGCGGCCTTTGACAACAGCGGGGGGAACGCAGGGCCTGCAAAGCGGGCCCCAACCCCTTTTCTTGCTGTGGCGGTCCCGCATCATCGTGTATCTTAGCCTGCCCTCTACCCACTGAGCTCATCCGCCAGGCCCTCCCCTTCCGCTATAATCCCCGCCAACCCATCCCCTCATACCCCTCCCCTCTCAACCCCCCCTCCCATGCCCTCAAAACGCTGCACCCGTCACAACTCTACACGCC